GAAACACCAGATTCCCAAAAGAGGTAGCAATGAACAGATACAACAAATGATCAAATACATTATTCCCTACCCAGAATAATTAATATCTATCTTTTGAAAAATACTATAAGAGCCATATTTAAAATATGATCAGTTAAATTCTTCATTTTTTTTTTACCTGCCATAACAAATGACTACAATGTTAATAACTTAAAATCAGACCCATTTGTTTTCTCTTGTTCTGTGAAGCTGGATTCTGTGCACAGTGGCTCAGCTAAGCCCTCCTTTTTAAGGCTTCACAAGCCATAGTGTTGGCTGTGCTTGCCCACCCTCAGATGGGTCTGGAGACTTCCAAACCTTTCAGGCTGTTGCCAGACACCAGCATAGCAACAAAGCCCCATTCTACTCTTCTCCAGTCTAGAAAAACATGAGTATCAGCAAGCACAGAAAGAATGATCTTTTGCAAAGGGGCACACCTGAATTCCAAAGACAGCTCAGGAAACACTCTCGCACTACAGAAATGTAATGTTTGTACAGCATCCTTCCATAACCATTTACAAGTAGTTAGTTTTACCAGCAAAATTAACAGAGCTTGCCAATTTTTTTATTTCTTCTGAGAGTTCTTATTTTATCCTTTCTGTTGGCATTAGATTAAGTTATATTCAGACATTTATTTTTCTTTGTTATTAGCCCAAAATTCTGATTGGCTGAAGCAATAATTGCTAATATTTTTAGAGCAGTGGTTTTCAACTGGTAGGTCATGACCCCTTTAAGGGTTGAACTACCCTTTCACAGAAGTTGTCTAGAGCATTGGAAAGCACAGATCTTTACATTATGATTCATAAAAGTAGTAAAATTACAGTTATGAGGTAGCAGTGAAAATAATTTTATGGTTGAGGGTCACCACAACAAGAGGCTCTGTGTTGAAGGTTTACTCAATTCCAATGTCCACTCCTAGGAACCAATGAGTTTACTGGGCTTCCTTGCAGTGCCTGGTGGAGTTTCGTACAGAGTGTGCATATTCCTTCTCCCCCAGCAGGCTGTACCTGGGAAGCCTGAACTCTGTAAAGACAAGGAACATTTTGTCGTTGGCACCTGAGGAAGTAGAGTAGACATTGTGTATGTCTCGCTGTGTGAAGAAATTTTAGAAGTAGTTAACCACATAACACACATACCTGAGTCAGCTCGTTCCAACCCAAGCTACTGTAACCAATCTTCATCTACACATCAGTCAGTGGTTAAACATTTTCAGTTTTATATAGCCAGCCAGGGTCACCTCAGCTTAAGTCAAATGAAAATATAACCTGTCAAGGAATTATTCTTGTACATGACTGCTCTTGGTTTCTGTATTTAGTTCTCAACGTTTGAAAATTAAAAGGACATTGCTTCCAAAATGTAGGATAACTTTCATCACAAAGATGTGCCGCACCACAGCTCAGCAACTTTATGTGCTCAAAGGAGACCATAGACACAGGTTAAAATAAATGATTTCCAACTCAAGGAGCAAAGGGACTGTGGTCAGAAAGACAAAGGCCGAGAAATCTGGAAATGCACTCCATTCCTGATGTTCTAACGACACATTTTGAAAATTGAAACGATATGAAGAAAGTTCCTCTGTGGAACTGGAGTGCACAGGAAATAAAATTGGGATGGAAGGATTCTAATTTTTGTAGTTGACGTTCATTAAATTTTAAAGCCTCATTTATTATGCGTGAGTGTATGAAGTGTGTGTGTTTGTGCATATGTGTGTGGGGTGTGCAGGCAGCACTGTGGAGATCCAATGGTTCTGTCTGTCAGGAGGAGTTCTATGTGGTAGCTGGCCTAACCTGGTCAGAGCTTGCTACGTATTGGAGAATAAGAAGAAAACCATGAAGCTGGTCACTGAAGAGTCTGCGTGGAAGCCGGTGGACGAAAGTCTCACCACATTTGTTTTCATTTTTGTCGCTTGTTATCAGTGTGTGATCATTGTATGAAATGAAGGAGCTCACTATGATGTCATCACCCACACAGTTTGTGTTCTATTTATATTCAGCCCTAATACCTTCTCTTGTATCTCCTCTCCCCTCAGTGGATCCTCTGTCCCTTCTTTCCTGCAAATAGTTCTCCTACTTTGAGCTAGGATATACACGTATGTTCTAGATTTCACATATGGGATAAAATTTGTGATGTTTATAATAAGCATCTTTCTGAATCTGGCTTATTTTGCTTAATTTAGTGACATCCACTTCTATCCATTTTATTAAAAATTATATATCTTCTTTGTGGCTGAGGAAAATGCCATCATCTTCTATATATAACATTTTCTTTATACATTCAGCTTTTGACATTTCACTCATCTCTTTAATTTTCCTCAAGTGTGGCTCTGTTTTTAAATAATAAGTAATGTAAGGACCAAATTAGGGACGCTTTAGGACATAGTGTTGTCCACAGATGCGTCATCTGAGGACAGAGGAGGTAGTGGGGACATGGGGAGAGGTTTCTACAATGAATCCAGAAAATTCATTTCAGCAGCTAGTGTTCAGAACACCACAGTCCTTTTCCTGGTGCTCATTTGATTGACACAATTGGGGAAAATCATAGAGTAATTAGAAGATTACTCAAGATGTAATTTGAAGATGAGCACAGAAGAGGACTTTTCCATTTGTTAATAAAAATGGAAATACTAGTGCATAAAAATAGAAGAAAAAAAACCCCTCAAGATTCTCACAGCTGAAAACTGTATCCCAATAAACTACATCTCTTGTCAAATTCCACAGTACAAGTACATTCTACATTGTCAACCGTGTAGGCTTTTTTTATACAAAACTTCAGATCCTATAAAATAGTCAGACTAAAAAATAGGAAGGAAAGCAAAAAGGATCTGTGACTATTTATCTCGGTTAGGGTTGCTATTGCTGTAATGAAACATCATGACTAAAAGCAAGTTGGGGGTAAAGGGTTTATTTGTCTTACACTTCCACATCATAGTTCTTTACTGAAGGAAGTCCGGGAAGAACATCAAATAAGGCAGGAACCTGGAGGCAGGAGCTGATGAAGAGACCATGGAGTGCTGCTTACTGGCTTGCTCCCAATGGCTTGCTCAACCCGCTTTCTTATAGAACCCAGGAACCCTAGCCCAGGTGTGGCACCACCCACAATGGGCTAGGCCCTCCCACAGCAATCACTAATTAAGCTTTGAGGTTACCTACAGTTTAATCTTACGATGGTGTTTTCTCTATTGAATTACCTTCTCTCTGATGATTCTAGCTTGTGTCAAATTTGATATAAAACTAGCCAGAAAACTATTCATACTAGTTATGAGAAAAAAAAGTCTCTTCTAGGTGCTGAACATAAATGTAACTCTTTTTAAAATTTTATTTATTTTTTTATTAATTACAGTTTATTCACTTTGTATCCCAGCTGTAGCCACCTCCCTAATCCCCTCCCAATCACACCCTCCCTCCCTCATCTCCTCCCATACCCTTCTCCAAATCCACTGATAGTGGAGGGCCTCCTCCCATTCCCTCTGACATAAATGTAACTCTTAAACTTTCCATAGGTAATGACTGCCCAGTGGATTTTCCTAATGTGGATACTCTGAATCTCTCTGTGGGAAATTTCTTTTTTTTTTTTTCTCTGTAGGTACTACCTATATTACTTTATAAAATTCAATCCTAGATTGAAATCACAGGTCGTTCACAGTGTGTACTATATTTTAGGGACACCTTTAGATCTTGAATAAAGATATAGTTTTGTGGAGCTGGAGAGATGGCTCAGTGGTTAAAAGCACTTGCTGTTCTTGTGGAGGACCTGGGTTCAATTCCCAGCATCCACACGACAGCTTGCAATTGTCTATAAATTCAGCTTCCATGGGCACCAGGCATACATATGTTACACAGACATACATGCAGACAAATGTGTATGCACATAAAAAGACAAATAAAAACACATCTTTTTAAAAACTGATAGTTTTGTGATTACTGAAATATAAACATCGTGGAAGTTGAGATTTAACATGATATGTCTTTATCAGATAGCAACATTCATTTTATGCATTTACTGCCCATCCATAAACTATGCTAGCTCCTGTAAGGAGAAAAATACGTGTGTGCTGACTGAACATTTGAATTTGAATAATTTAGAAAAACTGGAATCCTTAGGTATAATTTGCAAGAAAACTTGTGAGTCCACTAAAAAAAAAAAAAAAAAGCCACAAAAACAGCCAACTTTGTCAAACACAGGCAATTACAGTATACACAGCACAAAAACAGAAAATGTTTGTTTTTCTCTCTCCCTATATCATTTCTTGGGAGAAAAAAACTCTTGGCATATTCCATCATAGAAATATGCAAAGTAAGGAATATGTATTTGTCTTGGGTGTGCCTTCTCCTGGGGCCTTGCTGTACATCCCTCATTGACAGCAATAGTGACATTTCTTGTGAGAAAACTGGAAAAAGAAACTTTTCTGGCTTAATGATTACATGGTACTTATAGATGAATGCATTGTTTCTTTACTTAGTGTGCAGGGATAGTGACTCCCCAAATCCCCAGGTTTCCTTCTGAAATCCAACAGGAGTGCTGTTTCTCCTGCAAAAAGGTATTCTTGGTTTTCACGCTGCACTCTAACAATAGGATGTGAAACCAGGGTAGGGTCGCTGAGTGAAAGTTATATGGGACCGTCTGTGCTATTCTTATGACTGTAAATACATAATTTTAAAACAAAAATTGAGTTCAAGATCATTGTGCTTAGTGAAATAAAGCAGTCAGAGGAAGCAGTGTCATGTGATTTCACTCACATGGAGTCTGAAAAGGCAAAGCTTGAGGAAGTGAAGGTGGAGGTGGGCAGCAGGGTTGATCTGTGAGGACCAAGTTCCAGTTGGATAGCAGGAAGCAAACAACGCCAGTGGGCTGTGTGCAGAAGGGAGACTATTCATAACATTGATGTGTGTATGTCAAAAAGCTAGCAGAGGCATTGTGGGAGTTCTTTCCTTTCTCGTTCCCCAGACATCTTGTTGGGGATTGTCCTGCCCCTAAGGAGGAAGATGGTGGCCGCAAAGAAGATGAAAAAGTCTCTGGAATCGATCAACTCTAGGCTCCAGCTTGTTATGAAAAGTGGAAAGAATATTCTGGGATACAAACAGACTCTGAAGATGATCAGACAAGGCAAAGCGAAATTGGTTATTCTCGCCAACAACTGCCCAGCTCTGAGGAAATCTGAAACAGAATACTATGCCATGTTGGCTAAAACTGGTGTCCGTCACTACAGTGGCAATAATATTGAATTGGGCACAGCACGTGGAAAATACTATAGAGTATTCACACTGGCTATCATTGGCCCAGGTGATCCTGATATTATTAGAAGCATGCCGGAACAGACTGGTGAAAAGTAAACCAGGAAAGTTTTCCTTTAGTAAAACTTTACCAGAGCTCCTTTAAAAAAAAAAAAAAAAAAAAAAAAAGCTAGAAGGAAGAATTTTGAAATCTTCTGTCGTGAAGGAATATTAATTGTTTGAGCAGATAAATATGTTTAACAGGATTTTGACATTATACAGTGTTATCAAAAAATAATATGGTACTACATAAATTGTGTAGTTTTTGTTTGCACACACATGCACAATAATAATTGGTAAAACTTTAGGTTTTTGAAAGATGCTTATTAGCATTTTGTTGTAATTAGGAGCTTTGTCCAGGAGATGAGAACTGGTTTATAGCTAGCTCTTCCCGAGCCACTCGGCTAACTTGCCATTTGGAGCTCTAGGGAAGCCCTGTAAGCGGCCACGAAACAGAGGCAGGAATGCCTTCCCAATCTGATATAATTTCCTTTTCTGGACCCACATTTCGATGCTTATTCCCTCCCTTCCCACAAAGATAAAAACCAGTATATGTTGGGACTTGTGTAGAGATACTTAAAGAAAGATAGAATGTGTAATAGGAATTCTAATTAATACATTTGCATCTATGGAGAATATTAACAATTTTCATCATGTAGAAAAGATGAAATGTACTCGCTATTTAAATAAAACTGTTAATGATTTGTCTTTTTAAAATTTCTTTTATGCAGCAGGTATTAAATACTATACTAAGCTTAATGACTTTGGTATCATTATCCAAAGTCATAATGGATTGCTGAGAACAAGATTTCTGCAGAGACACATGCTGCTCTTTGGGTAAATGTCTTCAGTAGCATTTTGCAGATTGTTTACATCTTTTATGGAAGTGAATTTATTAAAATTTCAAATGGTACAGGGCTTTACAGGAATTTCATTTGTTAACATTCCTTTATTAAAATCAATAAATAACTAAACATGTACCATTGTATACATCCTTCTTTACATCTATATTTTGTACATTTTATATTCACTTTTCTTTTTTGAATATAATTATTAATTCATGGTTTTTCACAGTCTCCATTTCTCAATTAACAGCTGTAATTATTATCACTATTAAAATGATGGTACTTGCTGCTTGCCAATGGAAGCCCCTTTATACTTGTGTTTCTGTCCTAGAACGGTACCCTTCACTGTTATCGTAGCTTCATTTTCTGTTGCTCTCATAAAATACCATTACCACTTAAGAGAGAAAGTTATTTGAGCTCATAATTTCAGGTTACAGTCTGACATAGCAGGGAAGTCACAATGGCCGGAGATTGAGAGAATAGTCACTTTACAACCATAGTTAGAGCACAGAGCAATAGATTCATTCATTCACACTTCCAGTGTTCAGCTTGGTTTCTACACTCATACATTTCAGGCCTAGGGAATGGTGCTACCCTCAGCGTGTGTGTATGTGTGTGTGTGGGGGGGGGGGGTTCTTCACACCTCAATCAATAGAACCACTCACATCACAGTCATGCCCATAAGTCAACCTGATCTAAATAATCCCTCACTAAGACGTCTTTCTAGAAGATACTAAATTGTGTCACATTCACAATAAAAACCAACCCATACAATTAGTTTTACATTCTATTTCCTCTATTGTATTAGAAATCAAACTCAGGACGCTGCACACTCTAGGCAAGCAAGCTGTCACTGACCGACAAACTCAGCAGTGCCGTTGATGTGTTTTAAGTTAAGTTTCGATCCAGGCAAGAAAATTCTATTCCAGGCCAATTATGTGTGGAACCAACTTTTCTTCCAGATCCCTGGTTCTTTGAAGGGAGTCCAATTTTAGAGATACAATATGGGCACTTCATAACCCATGAGAAGTCAGAATTGAGACAAAGGTGACATTAGAAAATGTGCAATTTTTTACACCATGAATCTGATGAGTTTTCCAATTAAACCCATGAAGTTTCTCTCCTGTCCCCCTCACCCCCCAGATATGTGACTTATTGATCTCTGGATACATGGATAGCTTCACCCTCCCGACCGGCACATGAGGTTAAATGTTCGTGGCCCTCTTGCATAGGTCAGAGTGCCTGCCAAGGTAGAACGAGCAGGCCTCCACTACTCAGGATAACACCACGCAAAGCTAAGTCCACAGCTCACAGACATGCTTTACACAGCGCAAGCTCGTGGAAACTGGGCTGGACCGTGCACGGAAAGTATTCGTATAGTTTGGCAAATCTGCCTCTCAAGCAGGAGAAAACCACTGGAATTAGCCAAAAGTCTACCCAGGTGTCTCTGAATGCATGGGTCTCTTGCCTCTGGCTTGTATGGGACTTACTAGGTACGTTCCGGTTTAGGCGTCACTGTCTGTACCTACAGCAAGTCAGGCCCATTTCGCTTAATGGTTATTACTGTGCACCCCTCTGCTCTTCTTCCAAAACACCTGGGTTTTTGTTCTTGACCCTGTACCCCCAATCTCTTTTTATTTTATTTTATTTTTCATTCTGGAAGACCATTACTAATTGAGCCCTGAGCAGGGGTCCCCAACCCTAACCCTCCCATGTGCAGCATTGTAGTTCAAGATGTTTCTTCATTGCAAACATGCCTTTCCCGTACATACCAGCCTGTGGGTTCCTAAATGCCGGGTATTCTTTTACACTACTGAGCACACCACCGACCTTCACCTGAGCGTGGTCTCAGGTATGTACGACGCGTTAGCTACCCCCTCCTCTCCTCTGCTCTCCAGCGCCCAGCTCTTTCTTTGGACCCCGTGCGGCACTTGCTGTGTTCTCCCTTCTGATTGGCCCAGCTTGAGGGCATCACCCTGGACCACCTTATCTCCCAGAGTGCGTCCCACCACTGCCAATTTCCTCTTGCTTATTGCTCTGTGGTTGCTGTTCAGAGATGCTGGCTTGAAAAGGAAAAAGCAAATAGTAAATCTCATTACAAGAAAGTTTCGCACAGGCAGTGATGAGACACAGATCTTGGCTCTCAAGCTCAAGAAACTAGTACACGGGTTCTCTCAGCCCTTCTGCCTGCCTTTCCTTCAGCGGCCAGCTCTCAACAAGTGGAGCTGAGCCAGGACGCTTACCAGCTCCTTAGAAATCTCTCATCAAGAGATCTGCTGTAGAGTTTCTATGTTGAGAGTTTTGCCCTGTTTCTCATTCTTCATGTCATATGTGAGATTGGGGATATTTTGGACAAAAAGTGTCGACTTAATCAAATCTGATGGACTTTTATGAAATAGCATCTCTTAGGGTTGATAGAAGTGAAAAGATAGGAAAGCTCCTGTCAGAGAAGACCATCGTTAGCATAAGGCTTATTTCAGCAAGTTCGCATTTGTTTTTGAGGGTGCTATTTGTTGAATCCACTTCACAGTTGAAGAAATCAAGCTAAATGAGCCAGTTGCAAGTTTCTCAGGAAACATGCACAATGAGGAATGCTAGCCTCCAGTGAGCATTTTCTTCAACACCGTCAGGCAAGTTCACTGCTAATCAAAGGAAGGTAAGATGACCTTGGCATAAAAAATACACTCAGCAGTTAATCCACTGGATCTGCCATATGGAAAACGGTAAAAGAGTTTGTACATTTTTGCGGTTGCTTGTTTTTTTCTTGTGATTTTATAGATATCTCTGTGAAAATTATTCTGGGTCCAACCTCATGGAAAAACTATTATTTCTTTAAGGGACTGTCAATATCATGAATGTTAAAGGCCTTTGTGAAAATAACGTCAAGCAGACTGAACACTAATTAAGATTTTCTTTAGCAATAGAAGTTTGTAATACTGCAGCCTGAATATGAGCAACTGAAACAAAAACACTCTGTTACAGAGGAAAATTATTTTATACACATCATACATATATGATCACCAGGAGATTTAGTCGATGAAATAAAGATACACTTCAGCATAGGTTACTAAGAAAACCATTTCTACATTAATATGAAGATTCTTTAGAATATAGTTATGGTGTAATTGTAGCACAATTACTTCTATATTAAGCATAATTTTATTTTGCACGCAAACATGCAGAAACATATGCTAAATCTTATGTGGGAACACTGAACTTCTCCTGTAGTTTTCAAACCCTCTTCATCGTGCAACTGTTCCTATACCATGTCAGTCCCCACTTACCTTCACTGCTTGGATGGGTTCATTTGGCAATAGCTCCCAAGCTGTAGGCTTTCCAGCTCAGCATCTTCCTTCCTCCCATGCCCCTGGGCTATGATATACACCAGGTCTATCTACCTTCTCAAGCCACCAGCAGGCCCTACACATAGTTTTAGCTCCGATATGCCACGTCTTAATCCTCAGGACATCATCACTAGCCCACATGGATCTACTGTGTCTTAGAACCCCCAGGACGTTGTTGTTGCTATCACTCAGTTTGAAATTGCATGCTGGGAGTCAATCCCAGGGCCTCTTCTACACCAAGCACAAGATCTGCCATTGGCCACATATGCAGCCCAAATGTGCTCAGTTATCAATCACTAAGTCAGTTGGTTATCCAAAGTTTGAGTCTGTTATATGCCAGACATTGTTCAAGGCATAGAGAAGACAGAGCAAGAAATAAAGTAGTCATTATCTGCCCTTGTGGTACATAGCTCCTAGCAGGGTATGATAGACAATAAACACAAATAAGAGCAAAAGCAATGATTTGCTCAGTCGTAAACAGAAATGAATGGGGGTCATTCTAGATCAGCAGTTTTCAACCTGTGAGTCGTGACCCCTTTCAGGGGTCAAACAACCCTTCCACAGGGGTAGCATATCAGATATTCTTGATATCAGATATTTACATTATGACTCGTAACAATAGCAAAATTGCAGTTAGGAAGTAGCAGTGAAAATAATGCTATGGTTGCGAGTCACCTCAACATGAGGAACTATATTAAAGGGTCTCAGCATTAGGAAGGTTGAGAACCACGGCTCTAGAATGTTTCTGTGAGAAGACAATGTTCAGGCTATAACCTCAATAACAGGAGCACTTGTTCCTAGTGAATACTACAGGAAGCAGTGATACGTACCATCACCTTTTAAGAGCTTAAGTCAGGGAGAGTTGGGAGTGCTGTCAGGTTTACAGCTGACTGAAATTATCTGGGTTGTCCAGATCCCAGAGAGGCACAG